GCTCAAACAAATCCTCCCGCCTCGGCCTCCCACAGCTGAGGTGTTTTTTTTTTTTTTTTTTATTTCTATTTCAGCATATTATGGGGCCACAGCTGAGGTTTTGATTAATGAGATGGGGAGGAGGTTAGGGGACACAAAAGTAGGTGGATTTTTTAGGAGTTCAACTACAGGGTTTTTCAAAACAAGGGTAGACATAGGTGAGATGATGTGGCAGGCTGAGTCCTCTGGCATCAGTCTCTGCGAGGGGATGATAACCAAGGACCCTCTTTTTCAGAGCTTTGGTCTGTGCTGGTTGAAGAAAGTTAACCTTGCATCTCTTTGTCCGTCACCCAACATTTCGTCCCTAAACCATTCTTAGGTAACCTAGCTTCCTCTGAAACAGAGCACTGCACCTACTGGTAGTTCTGAAAAACAACTATGTCATTTAGTCATCTCTGCTGCATTCAGGTTTTGTTGGGTCACTTTCAAAGATATTATCTAAGGAACGTGAGGAAGAAGAGCTAATAGCTACAATTTTTAAAAAAGTTTATTCATTCAATTAGACAAATCAGCTTAGTAATATATTTCTTGTCATCAAATCGTATTGGGTTCTAGATAATTGCACCATTCACCAAAAATAGAATACAGTACTTTAAAGGGCCTCTGTTGATGAAATTACTGGCATTTATTTTTTTTTTAATAAGAGTTTAGATGTCACAAATCTAAGAGCTGACGAAGGGCCCACGAGAACTGCTAAAAGCTCCCAAAACAGCTGTGATGGGGTCATGTGAATCTGAATGCCCACGCCAGGGCCGATGGGCTCCCCTGCGGACGTGCCTGCCCTGCCCAGACTGCAACTGCCCCTGGCTAAGTCGTTGACCCTCTGAGCTGCAGTTTCCCTCTCTGTAAAATGAAGGATCACAGACTTTGCAGTGTTATTTCAAAAAGTAAATGAAATAGTATCTGGGAGGAGCCTGGCACTTAGAAAGTGAGCAACTCTGATTTCTTCCCCTCTCTACCTGATCAATGATGGAGCCTCTTGCCTGAAATGATCAGCAATTTAATGTGTTTTAAAGGAGCCTTGTCCTCCATGTTTTATCAATTCCTTTGAAATCTGCCTCTATTTCGCTAAGAATAAATCCAAAATGACAGGTTTTTTCATTTTTTTCCCCAGTGCATTAAACCTGGTTTATTGAGGTGCTGGGTTTCTGAACACCATACTAACTCTTGAAGGTAAAGGCTTGTATGCAGAATAGTTAAAGTCTTGACGTCATGAGGCTGGGTCCCTACGTTGGATGTCCTTCCAAATCTTACCTCTCATTTTTAACAAGAGATGCTGTCCTTTGCCCCAGGGGTGAAGCAGAACACTGTGGGCAGGACAGAAAAGGCTCACTGGTGTCCAGACTCCTGTGGCAAATGAGGCCACTGGGGTGCCCTGTGTGGCAGGTTCTCGTCGGCACTGTTCACGTGTGAAGTCTGCAGCCTGTGCTCCCTTCCCTTCCCCAACAGCAATGCCCTTGTAAATGCCCAGGGTGAAGTCGTGGCAGGGATCAGAGAGCTGATTTATGACAGGCCCAAGCTTGCTGCCTCAACCCACAGATTCCCCTGAAGGGTAAATTCAGCTCAGAGCTCCTTAGATTCCAGCCGTCTGTGTCAGCCTGGCCTTGCTTTAAGGTAAGACAAGTTATTTGCTCCCAAATCCCTCAGTGCTGAAGGGATTAGCCTCTCGACATGTTCTACTCATCTCAATGTTTCAAACGATAAGGGTCTGTGGTGGCAGGGAGGTGACACAACTGTCTGAGTTCAAATTCTGGTTGCATCCTATGCTGGCTGTGCAACTATGGGTAAGTTACTTAGTTTTGGTCCTCAGTTTCCTTATCTGTAAAATGGCACAATGGTATCTACCTTTCAGAATTACAATAAAATTTAAGTGAAATCATACCACAAAAAAACATATTGTTAAGAATATAGCCAGCTGCCAATATATATGCTATTATTTCAACCCCTTATTTTCCCAATTGATCTTTCCAAAAAGATCAATGTAATTTTACCTGCTGTTTCATCTCTTTCCCACCAAGGAACTGGCTGAAGACAGGCAGCCAAAGAGGCACGGAAGACAGCAAACAGCCTACTCAATTCCAAAGTGATATACTCAGAACATGAATGATTAAGAATGGACCGTAGGCTGGGCACGGTGGCTCACGCCTGTAATCCTAGCACTCTGGGAGGCCGAGG